TAAGCACACATATTGTATAAATAAGCATGTAAACACCGTGGCCCTAACCTCCTCTAGGGGGGTCCGGGGGCAAGCTCCTCGGGAAGATTTTTTTTTTAAATATTGAAGTTAAAAGCATCAATCTGGTGCACTTTGAGAGCAACATGAAGACATCTATGGATTCATCTTTCAACACCCATATGAAACAGAACTGTAAACAGATTCTTCTTTTTGGATATTTTAAAAATCACTCCCCTTTTAAACTCTATTACTTGTTATTTTTAACAACGTTTTTGTTACTGTCATATAGTATTTTATACCTGTTTTTAATTTAGTCTCATTAATAACTATAATGATCATATCAAGGTGTGCCTTAACCTCACTGAGCTGAGGTTATTTGAGCCTCTCAGGAGAGAGCTCTCTTCCACCCGGTTGTAGAAAAGCTCTTTAAATTCGTTAGCATAGCTAGCTAACCAGATGCTAATAACAACCGATCGCCACTGTGCTTACAACTAAAGACACAGCCACGCAAACACTGCGGCATGTGTACGGCTCCTTATGGGTACTGCAATATTTGAAGAGCTGGAGCGGCGTTCCGGTGCTCTGTCAGCACTCCTTTCAGACGAGACATATACCACGTGAAGACACGTTACGCTCGTGTTGTGTTCAAGGAACCTGTCCTTGGCCAGGAAAAACAGGCACCCGCTTGTTTAATTATTTTTGCAGTCTAGATTTCATCTTCATTTTTGAAGTGAGAAGTTGTCCGTCAGTCGGACTGCCAGACGGACTCCCCCCTCCCCACCCCCAAAACGAAAACTCTTCGTTTCTCCACAAATTACACAAGTCACCCAAATCAGCGTTAAAAAAGCGGGAGGCGCCGAAAAATCCCCCATTAATGTATTGATTATAGCTCCGGGTCCGCATAGGTCGGCGTCTGGGTAAGGATCCGGACCGCGGCCCGCCTGTTGCCGACCCCTGCACATAGATGCTGTATGAGAAACCAATGTGAGTTTGGAAAATTGCACAGTATAAATCTATTTTAGTAGACCTCAACAATGGAATTATGATCAGTAGAAATGGCCATGTCATAGGACCTTTAACAAACACAAATCGTCTACAAAAAGCAGCACGCAGACTTTTGTTTTTCTGAGGCTTTATTGTCTATTTTCATGTGACCACTTAAAGCAATACTTTCCATCATATTTCTCCTCTAGCACAACACCAACAAAGAAAACGAAGACTTTAACAAGGCCATTGTATGACCCAGAGAAATGCTGAACAGTCAAAAACTGAGCTAGGAACAGACTGACTTGATAACAGTCGTATTAACAAATCACTGGCAACCTTCTCTCCGCTCAGAGCTGTGATCTGACAGCGATCATCATATCATATATGTACATTCAGACCAAAGAAACCCAAAAGGAAAAAGTGTAAAGGAAGTCACTTTCCTCAAACTCAGTGGCTGCTTTGTTTGTACCAAGAGTCATTTTGACCTTAACAGTCCTCTTTACTTTTGACAAAATGAAACCTCTCCCTCCGACCCCATTATGTTGCTAGATATCGCATCTTAATCATTTCCACAGTATTTTTTTTCATATAAAAACATATTTTGGTATTTTTCTACATGAAAATATTAGGAAATAATTACAACCAAAAACAGAAAATTCCCTAAATCTCCCCGCAGGTGTCCAGAGAAAAGTAGTCCTCGAGGAAGTAAAGGAGGAAGTCCACGAGATGAGAATCAAAATGGATAATGGGATGGCAAAGTTGGACCGAGGAGGGTTGGAGGGGGTCATAGTATTTTTTCCGGGGATGGACGCAGTGATCTGGGCTCAGAACCGGAGGTGAGCTTTGTGTTTGACCAGGTATCTGGGGGAAAAGTAGAAAATAAAAAAAGGTCAGTTTGTGCAATGTCATTGTTTTCATGACTTTAAATACATCATGATGAGGCCCAAATAATTATAGCATTGCACACCTGTCGACGGTTTCCCAGAAGTGCAGGAACACGGGTCGGTCCAGATGGCGCCGGTGGCGGCTCAGCTCCAGGACGGACACATCCCACTTCTGCACGTTGGGGTCGATCTTCGCCTCGTCGTACTTCAGATGAAAGGCTCGAACTGGAGGGGAAACGTAAAGCATTCGTTTATAGAGGATTCCGGGTCAAGGGCAGGATAAAACGAGCCACCCTCAGTATATAAACTATATAATCTTCACCTTAATATTTGCATTTTGTGCCAAATACTGTTTCTCAGAAATTGAGAACCAGAGTGACTTAAGCTCTAGAGATCTGTGTCTGCTGCAGGCGGCCGCTAATATCCTGCTAGCTTGGATGGACACACACTGCATATATTTCCTGGCAAAAAAGCACTTTCACAGTTTTATGCATTGAAGATTTGTTTAGAGAAAGGACCAGTGTGTAGTATAAAGAGTGAACTATTAGCTCAAATTGAATATTTTATTGTGTTATCACATGACAGTATGAATCGTTGCATTCTCAATAGCTTCAAACTGGCCCTTTTATCTGTATACACAGTAACCCAGAGTGGACAAACAAAACGCTCACCTAGAGGGCCGTGTCTTTATGTTAGCTGAAGGCCACCGTTTCCACCAATACCCAACTTTAGAACTATTTTTCCTAATTAATATAAGAGTTGTTTGATCTACAAACATTTCACCGTTCTTTTGCGGTACAGGTTTGCTCATTATGCTCCAAGGAAATTTGAGAAAACGTGGCAACTTTTACATAATTTGGGACCATTAATATTACTTCAGATAACCAAAAAAGCTTACAGACTGAACTTACAAATGTTCACATATCACAGCCTTTTGCCTGAACATTTGGACGATTGATATCATTGTGCTAACCAGAAGAGCAACAACAGAACATTAATCAATAATTAGATAGTCACAAAATATTATTATAAATAATAGAGAAATATATGCTTTACAGAAATGCACTGGCTGATGAAAAATAAATCATACTTATAATATAGCCTACAATTTAGAAACTGGTTTCCTAACTACAATGCATGCATCATAGAAAGCCGCTCATCTGTAATAATGTGGCAACAATGTCTCAAGGACCTTACTCACTTTTGGCAAAAATGTCAACAGGAGAACCATCAGGCAGCAGCCACGGCCAGCCTTTGAACTGCCAGGCAGGACCCTGCACAAACACGGCCACCACTCGATCCCTGCACACACACACACACACACACACACACACACACACACACAGACCTTAATGGTGCTTAATATTATACCACTTTATCATCATCAATGGGACATAATGTATTCATTTTTATTACACAGCGTAGATGAATACTCAATTCTGATTGGTCAATTTGGACATTCAGCGGTCTGCTCTTTCTTGATAGCAGTCCGTTGCTTAGGACACTGATCCAGGGACTATCAATCCGTAGAGAGAAGTTTTGTGAATTTGACGTCAGAGATGGATAAAAAAACACATTTGTTTTCCCTCATTAGAAAACACCATGGAATATTTCTTGAATGTATATATATTTTTTGAGAGCATGACACTTGATTCATGGTGGCTCAACTGTCCACAGTAAATGAAAAAAAGAGAAGAATAATAAGAAAAAAAGCACAAGGGAAGGAACCAGATGAAAAGAGAGATGACATGAATCAGCGAAAGACAGATAGGAAGTTATCACTAACAGGACTTAAAAAGTACAGTGGCAGAAAACCTAAAACAGTGTTGCCGCCATATAAAAAAGGGACTTTGCTGTAACTGCAGTTCAGCAATTGCCTCGCAGAAGGGGGACTATTTTCAAATCAATAAATTAATGCTAAAATCAATTTGTTGTGTCCAATTGTTGATTTATTTAGTTTCCGTGTAATAAGCTAGATCGTACACTGCATAATATCTCTTACTTGAACAGTGCCGTTAGATTTAATGAATGTTTTACTGTTTGGTTTGTGTACTAGAAACAGGAGTGAAACTGCCCAGTGAACCCCCCACACCAACTGCCTCCATGATGACAGGATGTGAGGCGTTCCTTTCTTATAAAGAACTTGTGAACCAAATAAAAAGATTAAATGAGAACTAAATAAAAACCCAGGACCCTGTGCTCTCTAAAAGGTAAAACATGAGAATACAAAGAAGTGAGCATTTTGTACCAGATAGATAATACTAATTCTGAAATGATTTGTGAAAGACTCAATCTCACCCTGATAAATGACAGGTAGCTGTTACATGTGTTGACTAAAAATGGGCGTTCATTTTTATAAATATTTTAGCTTTTTGTTGCACAATCTTACAATGAACTTGATGATTATATAACTATTTTAGATATAAATATAAATAACATGCTGTTCAACTTTAACCTGCAATTCATATTACAAATATAGAAAAACATTTTACATCACTATTAATTATAATCCTTACCAGTCCTGTGGAGCCAGTTTGAGCGGCTGGTCGATGATTCGGTACGGCACGGTGACGCTCACCGTCGCCCCCCCCGGCTGGATCTGGTCTTTGCGTCTCTGCAGCAGAACCTCATTATCACGCTGGATGCCCTGCTTCTTCTTCTCTTCCGGCGTGACAAACCTGAATTGGCACAAACAAAATGAATAGTGTTACTTTATCTCATTTATAATACTTTATAGACGCTAAACACACTTGCTAAACACCAATACTATATTCCTAAAAATGCTTTGGTATCAACGTAGGCTTTCTTTTCCCACAACTTGAGATGTGAATGTTGGTTATTAAGTAATATATAATTAATGCTAAAGAAAAACAAACAAAGATATGAAACCAAATGTTCAGGAGCTTTTTTCCGCTTTGTTTGTGTAATATAATGCTCTAGTCTTCCTCTTTTCTGATTGAATGAGAATAATGGATGGGATTGGGATACTGCATTAGCCAGTTTGCCAGTTTCTTCCTTTTCTGTTTGGTTTTATGACGCTATGTTCAGTGCTGTGGTAAAAATGTGTCCAAAGGCCAAGTTCTGCCAAGTAACATTTCCCCGGGCCTGATCTTGTGATCCTCAGCAAGGTAAAGTGATCTTGGCAGACAGGAGGAGAAGGAAGTTGTAAATAAAGATCAGGTAGAAAATCAGGAAGAACTCTGTTAAAATGACTAATAGATATTAAGTGGTTAGAAACAAGTTATCACTATTATCCACATGTTATCCTATTAGTCATTCACGGAGATTGTCATGACTAGCGCTTATGGGCAAAAAAGTGTTTAAGGTCGAAGAAACCTTTGTCTGTGCCCAATTAGAAGACATTTCCTCCAGGTGTTTCTGATTAAATGGGATTGACGAAAAATCCCTTAAACATAATGCCTCCAGTCGAGGCTATTGACGGCACTGAGCCATACAAAAATAGGATGGGCGTGCCACAGGGATTTTTAAATGTGCATTTTACTCGACAGTGCAGCAACCTCATAACTTACAAAAACAGCTTTTGGTACCCATTTTCGTAAAAGAAAAAACATCTAGGGCTGCCTTTTGCCTTTTTTCTAGTCGAACAATAGTCGTCAATTCAGGCGATTAGTCCACTAATCGTTGGATGTTTATGATCATTAATATTATTTATGTATTTATTTTCCCAAATTATTTTCAGTTTCAAAGGCTCATAAAGAACATTATTATAACAGCATGGCACGTTGTGCTTCATATAAAATATACTTTTTTTCTCCCTTTGACTAAAAGAAAAATTAATAATTTGTCAACAAATACTTTTTTAAGTATACTTTTTCTAACGTTTAGTTGACTGATTGGGGCAGCAAAAAGGTCAACAGGTAGATACACTTACTTCAGATCCTGGAGGAGCTCCTTAGCATTGAGCATTGTGATGAGTGAGGTGGTGGCGGCAGGGATGATGACAATGGGGGTCCGGGACCCTTTTGAGAAAATGATGATAAAAAGGTCTTTAAAAATATTGGTAGTGTCAAATAGAGAGTCAAATAAAATGCAGTTTTATGCAAATAAAGAAAAAAACGTTTGTTATGTTACATCATATTCAGTATACTGCTTTTTATATGAATACCAAAAACATAGTCTAATTAAGTGAAATGCGTACCTTTCTTTTGATTTGGTGGAGGTCTGGCTTGTGAAACTAGAAGGGAAAAAAAACAATTTTAGGTAAACAACTTTTTTTCAACAAACTAAAACAACAATTCCACTAAGAATATTCATTTTTTAGAAATATAACCAAATTATTCTGTGAAATAATTGACTGGCAATAGCTCAAAGAAAAAACTAAAATAAATAAAAGATCCTGTGTCATTAAATACACTATTAAATCTCCAAGAGGTGACCCCGGCATTCCTTCCTTTAACCCTTCTTTACGCATGTCACTTCAGTCCAGTCATCATGGAACAAGATGCAGACTGATGTTGCTTTGTTGTGTTCTCACATATCCTTAACTCCAATCTTTGGGCACATATTTGCTGAGGAGTCAAACACACATTTGATTCTTCTCCTCAAACAAAAGTCCCTTTCATGGAGGCAGTTTCACCCAGAATTTTTTTTCCACTGTATGGTTATGTCAAGCAGAAGTAGATATCACAGACATTTGGACCAAGCAGTTTTTATGCTCAAGGCCGAGATAAGTTGTGTATCATTTTATTTTATGTGGTAAGCAGGGGAAGGTCAAATGCTAAAATATCTAAGAGTAGGGATGTTAATTTTGATGCCAACATTTCGAAATTGTGATGGAACTTGTTTCTCTACAGTAGAGCATGTACCAGGAGGCTCAAGAATGATGGGACCCTGTCGTCCCAGGGACAACAGAAATGTCTAGAGGCCTCTAGAGCAGTGGTCACCAACCTTTTTAAGCCCAAGATCACCGACCTCGGCCTAGGTGAAAGGCGAGATCTACCTATTGCAGAATTGAGTGCAAAAGACGGCCCAGACAATGCTTCCAATTTGAGGCCTTTTATATAGGCTAATTGCATCTGAATTACTGTTACAATGAAGGCTCCATAATCAGCTCACGGCATATAGGCAGGGGTAAAGTGCTATTGGGGGGTGGTCCTCACCTCCTCCTAGGGGGGTCCGGGGGAAGATATTTTTTTAAATATTGAAGTTGAAAGCATCAATCTGGTGCACTTTGAGAGCAACATGAAGAGATCTATGGATACCTCTCTCAGCACCCATATGAAACAGAACTGTAAACAGATTTTCTTTTTCTTTATGGATATTTTACAAATCACTCCACTTTTAAACTGTATTCTTGTTTTACTGACGTATAGTAGGCTATTTCTTACCTGTTTTTCATTTATTCTCTTATTGTTTGTATAACTATAATGATCATATGAAGGTGTGCCGCGGAAATAATCTTTTGAATAATTTGTGACAAAACCGTTCTAAACACTCAGAGAGTCCTTTAGCTCACCTGAGCCCCTCAGTCTGACAGGAGAGGACTCTCCTCCAGCTTGTTGTGGAAACAGCTCCTTATG